CTGCTGAATATTCTTGGGGCAGGACACACGCTATGAAAATGTTACTTAGTTTCTTCCACTTCAAAAACGAAAATTTAGTTAGAACTCAAAAAAGAAAGCTTATCAAAAGCAGCGTATATGAACATACAGTTTCTATCACAACAGATAAAATGCAGGATTTTTTTTTTGCATATATATTCCTTTCAAAAATGCCTAACATAAGTTGACACATTGCAGAATATACTTAAAATTACCATTTTTGTAAGATGATTGCACATAGATTTTGTGGAAGTTACACAACATAGCTTCGATAAAACAGATTGAGGCTACCATTTGGACACACGTTATGCAAAGTGCATGTGTGTATATATATACATCTATATATATAGGTTTATAATCATGCGGGTGCAGGGGCAGGGAGAAAAAAATTTAAATTAATTTTAAGAATCTTACCAGGTCATTGCCAAGAACTGCAATATGCAGAATAACAGTGCCAAGCCTTTATTGTTCCACTAAGTAAAACCAAAGCAAATTACAAGTTAGTTCATTTTGCACCACTCTATACTGTAAACAATTGCAACAGCCTGTTCAGCCAAAAATTGTTAGCTGAGGATGCCTAAATTTCCTTGTCTTAATTTGCTATTCTTTTTCACTCTAACAACTTTCCATTCATTTTAGCCGTCACTCCATTAGCATCAAGCTATGAAAATGCTCTCTAACTTTGAAAACAACTAACAGCAATGCTAGCACTTTCATTCATGACAATGTACTTCTGCAAATATGGAAGTTCACTTTAGCTACATATTTACTTCCATGAAACATAACTACTGCCAGTTTTTCAAATTAAGATGCCTGAAGGTAGTAGCTCTGTCTCTCTTCCTTTGTCTTCATCAGTTTAATATTCTGTATCCATGGTTTTTAAAGTTCATTACATATTCCCTGATATTCTGACATAAGTACACATCGCTAAGATGAAAGTACATCTTAACTTGCTTTTCTTAGTTCTTAGTTCAGAGGTCTGCAGACTGAACCTGATGCTCTAGATTTTGTATTCTCATCTACATCACAAGCAGGCAGCTTGTAGCAAGCAGGCTCATTGCTCCAACTAAACTCAACTGCAGTTGAAATCAAATACCATAGACACAAGCTCATCTTTCCTCTACAACTATGCTGTACGTTAAAGCCATAATACAATTAATAAACTAACCAAGCTAGATTGTTAGTATTCTCACTTACCCAGAAAGCAGCACACAGAGTCAATGATAGGAAAAGCTGAGGGGAGATGAAAGGAGAGACAAAAAAAGAAGAATGAATACTCAAATAGAGTTTGCATATACAGTTGTTAACTGCTTTCATGTTTTCAGTGTGTAAATCAGCATTTTCCGAATTGACTCATGAAACAAGCAGAGCCAACGGCTGTCACACAGTGACCATATGCTGAACTCCATGTAAAGCGGTGTTTTCCAAAGCACAGTATGATGTGCTCCATGGCCAGAAGGGCCGGAACAACTCTTGGAAGAAAGAGGAGGCAGGAACTGACTTCAGGAACCATGAGGAGTATAACCAGCAGGTCTGCGTAGCCTTATGTGTTAGGTCTATTAAGAAGTGGGTTTAGATGATAAAGATTCCTTGAAAGCAACTGAGCAGTCTGGGAACTGCTATTCTATTATTTCAGTACATAGTATAATTTTGGATCTAGTATTCATAACATCAATATCTGACAAGAAAGGTATGTGCATCACCACAAACAACCTGTTATTAAAAACGCCCACTCACAATCACGCTATTTGGCAAACACAGGCTCTGATCTTTCTGCCAGTCTTTTTTCATCTTCTGGCAGTAATGAAGAGCCCACTAGGGAGCAGCTGCCTCATACACAGTGCAAAAGCTCACAAGAAGCTTTACTCTCCATTGCTTTCAAAGTGCTGAACCACTATTCTATACAAGCAGAGCTGCAGCCAAGAAACGACTGTCAAGCTAGACTTGGTGACCACTGACTTTTCATGGTAGCTGAAAAGTCTCTTTCTAGCCTTGTTCTTGAAGAAATTGTTCTAGAAAAAAAATGAAAAATAATCAACCTATAACATTTAGTAAGCAATATGTAGTAAAGAACATTTTACTCCAAATGATTAATTTAAAAAAATCCTAAGCAACAAAAACATAGGCTCATAGAGAGGAGTTAGATAATCTTTACGATATACAGAACTAATCAGCTTGACTATTATTATCCAGTACAAGGAAGAAGTGGACTGAGAAATAACCTCCCTTGAGTAAAGCCTCAAATTTAGCTTTGAAGCTAAGGAAAAACTTTTTAGCAAAAGGAAATAAAGATAGCATATTTACCAACATCACAAGTGTAGCTATTAATCTTTTTGGTTCAAACATTGCTTTCAATTGCTTCAGTGGCCCCATCAGGAAACACGTACTAATAGCAGGGGAAAAAAACAAAACAAATGGTAAATCACTTTCAAATAAATCTTTGTAAAAGATAATAGGTAATTAACCAGTTTTCCAACAGTTGGATGACTACAAAGGCTTTAAAAAAGGCATTCGGTGTTTAGCAACATAGACCTGCTAGAATGAAAGGTGAAATACCCCACAGTTTATGTATTGAGTCACCCTTGGTCATGAAATTCTTTCCAAAACATTACCACTTAGAGCAGAGTTGTGAAGATGAAGTCTAGTGAATTTCATGCTGAGGCTGTTTTAAGAACTGGCTTGCCAAAAGAATAAAAAGATGAAGACCAAACTACTGTAGAAAATTTGTTTAATAATAATCTTCTTACCCAGGCAGCGTGCAAGTAGCTACAATCAATATTACAGGGGAGCTTAAACTCTTTGCCCAAACACTATTGTTTTCATGTTTGTGATTAGAAAATTATAGTAAAAACAAGCTAGATAGGACTATTTAGTATGAGTGGTAACTGCATTTGTTTTAAATGCAGACTTGCAAACAAACATAAAAAATATCTAATCTCTTTGTCAATTTAGGACTTCATTGTAATTTCCTACTGTTTATAGAACATAGTTGCCTGTTGTTTATATCTAACAGGATGGGAAAGAGCGCCCTCTTTTTACTTCTAATTTTAGTCAAGAGTCCAGACTAAAATTTTTTCAGCATTCTCCTAAAAGAAATACCAGTGTGTAAAAGCTTTCCACCTGTGTGTAAAAGCTTTCCTCTTCATTCATTGACAATTAGACTTGATTAGTACCAAATTTCTAACTCGCTAATTTAATTTGAAGCAGTGAAAACACACTGAAAATACTATGTAAAAAACCCAAAGAAACAAAATAACAACAACAAACAATAAAGAATAAGATAGGGAGAGAAAGGGAAATATTCAGTTTTGCCTACTTCCAGTACTAACTTTGTGTCTTGTTTTAGTACAAGATGGAATAGTTACACAACTAAGAGACTCAATTGCCGTATAACTGCCTTTGTTCCTGAACAAACGTGTTGAGGAAAAGCAGTTCACTATCACATTTCTCAAACATTAATTTCACATTGCCTGAGTTTTAACAGATTAGCAATGCTTTGACTCAATAGTTCAGTGACTTGGCTAAAGCCACAGAGTTCATGAAAGTCAAGACCAGACTCCATGGGTTCTGCATCCTATGACCATCTTTCAGCATGACTGCAAAAGGAGGAGAACAAGCAAACTGAAAAAACTTCCTTAACATTTTAAGACTGTTACAGGAAACACTGCAAAGAACCAAGCACAGAGTTTAAAATACACTGTGAATGATTTTTAGATTCTGCCTGGCCTCACAGTCAAAATGAACACTTCCTGACCCTCTCCTTTTCTGAAGGATTTTCCTAGAAACAGGAAAAAGCAAAAGTTAAGGACAAAAGGAGCTTTCCAGTAACAAAGCATCCACACAGCAGGCAGACAAGTTTGCCCTTGAAATTGAGGTACCTCTTTACCTGGCAGAAGGACTTTACCTGTAAAAGTACAAAACATTCAGCCAGTAATTTGTTATTCATACTTCAGACAGCAGTTGTGAAACGTCTACAAAACAATCATGTAAAACATTACAATGGGGCAGTAGCAAGCAAATTACTAGTATTCACTAATTATTAATCATAAAACTGTAGACAAACGAGATTTTATGTTATTGCATTTCAATATCAAAACAATGTTGTTATTACACAACATAACCAGAAGGCATTGTAGAGTGAAACCAAATGGAAATGTAGATGAAAAGGAGGATACTATTCTGGTAACACTAATTAAGAAATCGTACCTGGCTAACGCAGCGATATTTCCCAGGGTGTAAAACACCGCAAAAAGTTTGATCCCTTTTGGGAGCCATAGCAATGTTCCCTATAAAAGACAGGTTATTTGTATGTTTTTAATTAGTTAATTCAATGTATTCAGATTTTATAGTCTATACATTTTCAGACTGTAAAGAGAGTAACTCTAACATATACTAGCAGATTTGCAGTAGTCAATATTCAGCATGTTTCTGTTGCCACCTACTGGCAAAATGATGTATTGTTTTACTACAGTTCACAATATTTTTACAACTAAGCAATGTTGATTTATGTTGCTTATAACATTTATTTGCACTGCTTACATTCGATTTATGACACTTTCATTTTTGTTACAATGCCCCACTATACATCATACACCTCTGCACACAAAGGAAAAATGTCACACAGACATGCTAATATGCACCTTCCCCTTTCTGCTCCAATCAGCCATCCAGACTCACAGTCTAGGTATGCACTGAGGCTGAATAGAAATACTTTAGAACTCCTACTTCCAGATATCTCTTATTTCCACTAAGCACAAAAAATTCCAAAGTGTTCTGCTGATCACAGTCCCTGTGATGATCAGACAGAAACGGAGCCTGAACTAGACGCAAAACATGGGTTTTTTTAGTTAGTTTTCATTTTAACTGTTTTAAACTGTCATGTGAATACTGTGATCTGAAAACAAAAATACAACTATATTCTACCCAACTGCAATTTCAGTGGGAATCTATGGTGTTAGTTTGCACAGACCACAGTACAATCAACCATGGAAAGCTGCAAGAGCAGTCTTAATTGTATTCTACAAGGAAAGCCTATGGACACTTTGCAAAGACTAGATTAAAGAACAAAAAAAACCCACCAAACACCACCTGCAATTTTGGCCAGCCAAGGACATAATAAATATACCAAAAACTCCATAATGTGAAGAAGAATAAGGCAGAGTTGACAGCCCTCAGCTTCATATGGCAAAGCTTTGCAAGGGAGCTGCCTCCAAACTCTCCAAGATACGACGTCCACAAACACACTAGCAGAGTTTTGACTCTTACCGATCAAGCTCAAGACAACTCAAAAAATCTTTAGAAAACCAAGATCCTATAGCCTTTTATCTGTTGTTTCATTGTTTCACACCATGTCATATAGAATAGGCACAAAGATGAAACACACAAAAAAATAGCAGTAAAAAAGTGGTGTTAACCTGCCCAGAAACAGCAGAATTTAGCACACTAAAATCTGTGATTATATTGGATAAATATTACCTGCAAAAAAAAAAAAAAAGGAAGGAGAGGGAATCAACCAAATCATGCTTAAGCAACCCTTAAAAAAGGATATTCCAACCCAGTCTTGAGCTCCCTCCCTAGAACTTGTTTCCTCTCTAACACAAACATCTGGCCAGAGTTTGTGTCACTGTAGTTGGCATAGGTAACAGCATGAAGAACACCACTCTCCAGTTCCTTTACTGAGCTGATTATCACTTAAATAAGACCTCTCATAGGTAGATCAGCAATTGTTCTGGTTTACCTCTGGGTCCTAGGGAGCCTAACAAACCACAGGCTTTGGTAAAGAATCAGAACCTTCAACCTGCAGGAGAATTCATCGAGTGCCTATCTCTAAGTGAGTGCCTCAATCAACAAGTTGCTCCTCCACAGCTGCTGTTTCCTGTCATTACATAAGCCTCTTTGCTTTAAAACCTTTTAATGGTAAATGAAAAAGTAGCAGCAGTCATTTAAATAATGGCAAACCCAGAAACTAATGCACCTGGGACAAGTTTCTCCATCCTGCTACCAGAACGTATCACAAGTCAAGTTAATCTGCCTGACAGTCTCCACAAAAACTGCAGATGTCATCCAAGCACGTAAGCCAAATGCTGCTGAGTAGCTTACATCAAATGTGCTCAGTGAAGTACCAACATCCTATTTCATAATGAAAAAAAGAAAGAAAACCCACAAAGCCAATGGATACTTCCCCAATGTTATTTCATCTGCTTCTGAGACTCTCCATGCAGATGAAGAACTGCTTTATACTGCCAGCTACCTCTCTCAGATTTTGATAGACTGAATAAATTAATAGTTCTCAGATTTTAACTGCAGGCTTGAGCCTTCTGCCAACACCAAAAGTTCAAGAATGACCAAATGATTTGCTGACTGTAAGATCAACAGGAGCGCAGCAGGTTTTTCAAGTGTCAACATGCTTCCACAGTCATCACCTATTGATTTAACCATGACAGGTTACACTTGCAGTTTCTTGAGCCTTTAAAAACCTTTCAAGCTTCCCTCTTCTTTTCCCCTTTTATTGAAGAGAATAAAAATAACATGGGTGCACACTGAACAAAGCAAAACCTTCTTCCTAGTACACCACTCAGAAATCTAAATAGAAAATACAGAATTTTTTTTGTCAGTGTTCAAACCTTTTAGTAAAAAATTTTACTATGCTACAATAAAAATGCCGCTGCTGTGAATGGCAGAAAGAGGGTCAAAATCGTAATTTACAGAATAGCCCCTCCATGCCAATTATACATTTCATGCCCAGCTAAATTTATAGATACAGGATAAAGCAAACACAGAATCAGTTTACTTACAAGAATAGAAAACACAATGCCAGCAACAAAACATACGGCAAACAATTTGACGCGAGTCCCAAAGCTGAGTGTTGTGGCATCAAGGACCTCAATAGGAGGAGACAAGGAAAAAAAAAAAAGGATATTACAAACTCAGTTTTGAACAATCTAAAGGACATTTTTCTTTACTGCTGAAATCCTCAATTTCAAACAGAATAATTTTTTTACTCAGAAACATTTTACCTTGCTTAATAGTCGCTTGCATATTAATTATTTCAGTTTAAGACATTATATTAGCAATTTGGAAACATGTGTTCAAAACAAACACACAAAAACCACAAAACCTGTGACGGTATATGCTGGCACTCAAGCAATACTGCTCCACTTTCAAACAGACTTTCTCTTCACCATACAAATACAAACTCTCACAGTTGTACCAAAGCGGAATGCCTGAACCTTCTAGCAATTTGCAGATGAACATACCTGTTTGTGCAGCACTGTAAGTTCCTATAGACATTACTGTCTCTTCCCATTACTCAACAGAGCCCATTATTAGTAGATATATGTAGTAGAATATTAGTAGAAATATGCACCACAAGCATTCTGATTCCACCTCAATTACTGCTCCTTACAGGATGAAGGGGTAGGCAGATTAACACAGCTGACTTGCTGACAGGGGTAATTTTACCTCTTGCTTCTCCCATGTGACTCCAGAGCCTTTAATGAGCTGAGGTAGCTGAAAATTCACAAAGTGGGAAAAGAGCTGTTCCTTCTATTCTGATGACTTAGTCCCAGGCTAGACCAATGAGTCAAACCAGCTCAGATGTCAGAACGTGGTGAGGCTGACAGAAGGAAAGAGGCAGGGCCAGAGCTGGCAGCAGAACAGCCCCTTTCAGCAGAAGTGACTGCTAGATATGCTCAGCTCATCTGCTCCACCCATGCTGCAAGAACATTGTGTTTTGGCTTACTCCAGGTCACTAAAGTTAAATATCCTGCCTATTATAAACTGGTATATCAAGTGAAGTGCTGCTTCAGCTTCCATAAGATGACTATAAAAAGGCAACTTTCCTATTTGTTCAGATGACACAAGCAAACTTGCCATCTTGTTATCTAGTGTGCTGGTATTTTCAATCAGGTATTATAAACCAGATATACAAGTTAAGGCTTCCCCAACCAATGAGTTTGATGTTTCTCCTACTCTTTTTGAGAAATTTGCCTTTTGGTAGTGGTAAGTGAACAAATGAAATCTGGTTACTGCTCAGAATGATTTCACATCTGTACAAAGGAAAAATTCACACCCAGTTTAATAAAAAAGGGCAACATACAAGCACACATTTATGTGCTATGATGGAGCAGCATCTGAATGTAAGTCAACAAGGAATAGCTTGGACTACTTTCTACTTATAAAAAATTACTAACCTTCTTTAGTCAAATTACATACTTTGAATATTTGCTTAAGAAGGGGGATTGGAATAGTGAAAATAAAAGAAGGGGATCAGAATACTAAAAATAATCTTAAACACCTGCATACTGTCTGAGCAGACACAGAGCTGGGATACAACATTTTTCTGAACTTTCTTTCCTCGTCTCCGTGTTCAGCAGTTAAGACAGAACTTCCCAAAGGTCAGAAGATGCAGCTTACCTTGTTAGGTCCACCTCTTTATCCTTATGTATGCATTAAAGAAATAGACAAAAACAGTAACTGAAAGTTGGTTTAGTATTTCTCATCATATTTGATGGTCATATTCCTGAATGCCTATACATGTAAGAAGTGCAGGAAGAGCTGATAGGACATAACTGAAGATACCCATGTGAATCATGCTTTTAGTTACACCTACTCATGCAACTGATCACATGTACACACATACACACACACAAATTTAAAAACAGTAAAAATTCTTTCTGTCCCTGCTCAGAAATGAAACATGGATGGGAAATACTATCAGTAAACCAAACACATGCATTTCAGATTGCCTAGAAAATAGAAAGGGTGAAGGTAAATCTTTTCTTCAGGTATCAGGCACACTGCTGCCACTTACTCCTATTCTAGTTCTAGTCTTAATATCTGATGGTGTTCCTAAAACAAGTACCAGGAAATTTCATTTTTCATATAAATTTGAGAATAGCTTTATGCTCATTTAAATCCCTAACAGTTATTAGGTGGAAAAAATACCAACATCATAAATAAGTTAACCCCACAAAGGCTCAGAACAAAAAATGACACAAGATTTGAAACGCAATTTCAAAACTAGTTTAATATATATTATATATATTCAACTGATAAAAACTTAGATTGACAATACATGCACATGAACTGCAGGAAGATAAGCTGTAGCACGAGGGCTGCCAGAGCACCAGAACATAGCACACTCTGTGATAATAAAACTAAATAAATTAATTGACACTAAAACAAAGGCTGATCCTCCAACCATGCCTCATGCCATCACCATTTGTGTTATCAAGCTGAACCTAGTTAATGCAGTGTTTGAAATCCTGAAACTGGAGAGCTGGTAATGCATTTTTTCTTAGTCCCTGATACCTAATGCTTTTTAGGTTTCATAGAAGCAGTGGAACTGGTTACTTTTCCAAGATGCCTGTTTCACCTCTGCAATGAAGCACCTTGCTGCAGAAGTTGAGTAACAGGTACAGAGTTCAACCTAAACCACAAACTTCAGCTTGTGTAAAATGCCAGGCTGCAATCTCTAGAAGTTGAGGGCCTGATACAGCATCTGCCTGTTCTGCCACATGTGCTGCAGGAGCAGTAATTACTTTAAGAGGGGCTGTGAGCCACCCTAAAGGAACAGCTTAGCTTCTTACACCTACACTCAGAGATTATGAACCAGAACCCTAAGGAAAAGTTAAGTCTACACTGCCTATGCAACAAAAGCAGAAAACAACATAAGGGTGATTAGGACTTTTTTACTGTCTGACATAAGTCGTACAGCTAATCCTAGATTTAAGGTAAAAAGAGCTGGCATTGCACACTACAATATTTGCATTAGCAGAAGCTTTTACTTAGAAGAGTGAAAAAATTGTCATGCAAATTCCACATTTGGGGAAAAGATTCATATGGAGAACTGTGCAATGGCAGCGACAAGGGAGTTCCTGTGAAACGTACCCTTTGTGTCATACTGTTTATCAGCTTGTTTCAAGCAATAAAAAGACAAAAGAAACAGAAACCAACAAATAAAAACCCCTAAGCTTTCTACAGCTAAACTTTAATGCCAAACTCCTGGGCAAAAAGCTACAATTTTTATTCACAGGATAACCCAAGAAAATACTACATAAGAGAAACGACCAAGACAGCCAGAAATCAAGAGGAAACCCCAAGTGGAAACTGGGCTCCAGAAGGCAGACTTCCTGAAACACAGGGGATGGTCCCACAGTAATTCAATACACAAGCTGCAAGCAGCAGGGAACGGTCTTTACTGAACAGCTTGCTATGGGCATCCAATAAATCACGTGAATAATAAAATGCAAGGCTGCCTGTGTTAAAAAACATTTCTTGTGGTTTTTAACATCTACCTAGGCTCTCCCATACTCTAATTATCTTATAAAAGTTTTCCATGTGGGTAAGCTTTGGAGCAAGTTGGAGCACAGGAGGTTCCATGTGAACATGAGGAAAAACTTCTTCACTGTGAGGGTGACAGAGCACTGGAACAGGCTGCCCAGAGAGGTTGTGGAGTCTCCCTCTCTGGAGACATTCAGAACCCGCCTGGACGTGTTCCTGTGTGACCTAGTCTAGGTGATCCTGCTCTGGCAGGGGGGTTGGACTGGATGATCTTTCGAGGTCCCTTCCAACTCCTGATATTCTGTGATTCTGTGAAGCTAAAAAAAAATAGAAGAACTTTCTTTTACATGCACTAAGAAAGATTCTAGACAGCAATGATTACATTCTTTCTTGATAGTAAATTTAAGAAAATGCAGCTAATGGAGAAAATTTAACTTCAAAGACACATTGACTACATTTGCAGAATTGAGTTCCTAAGCAATATTTCAAAAGAATATAAATATGAAGGTATATTTTCATCTTTCCC